CTGCTAATCATGCTTGCATATACCAGTGCAAAAAGTGGTTCTTCAACGGGTGTCGTATTCTTCCACGAAACATCCTGTTTTATATGCAATGTTGCAACACGCCGTATGTTATTGTATTCTGCTTGTAACCGTTCGTCCACCTTTGCCACGGTAGCCATCCCAACGCGCTCGGTTCATACGCTATAGCCAGTTTTTCCTGTTTTCATATAATCTCTTTACAGAACAGTAGATAACCGAGTTTGTTTGAAAGTTGCATACTGATTGATTCTTCTACATAAATTTCCTAAATAACCCATCATCAAGAGGGGTCAACCTCTGAAATCTACTCTGGGCATTAAATGTTGGCTGTTGCTTCTTTTCAGCGTCCTGTGGAGTCTCATGAACTGTCGCTGCATACGAATTTCTGTTTAACTGCCTCATTTTAATTCGGCAGTCCGAATTATCCTTACTTAACTCCAGCATCAAAATAAGGAAGATCTGGAATTATATCCATACTGCATAAAGTGCTAGAGGATAGCCACGTTGAGGAATCTGAGACGAAACTCAAAACGGCATATAGAAACACGGCTTGCACAGGAGGTAAAAAGGGTTTGCAATGCGGAATAAAGAATACATAAATATGTCATGTACTCGTAGTCGAACAGAATTGTAAGGAAGGAAACGGACTGGTAAAGGAGAACGGTAACAACTAGCACATACTGAAATAGCAATAATAAACCTTTTACCGTCGGACGGCTCGGACAACGACTACGGTTTATACTTAGTTTACTCGTTCGATACACACTACTGCTAGACCCCATCCTAAACAAAATCATGATTCCTGCAAAAATAAAGATTCGTCCACAGGACAGGAGGGGTCTAGACTAAGGTTGATTCAGTTAACAGACGGATTGTCATCATCGGACGAAAGATTGCTGTAGATCATGCACTAGAATCAACAAAGGGCTGCACATTCCCGGATTTGTACTGAACTCTTTCAGCAATACAGGATAAACTGATCATCATCACCATGTTCCATCTGAATAATCTGGAATTCCGGAATTCGGCGAAGAACCGCGCAGGCCGCAACACTGTGTTTTCAAAGCGTATAAGGTTTAGCTATAGTCTGACAGGGCTAACGACGGGTGGCCTGGTGGACTTTGCACAGAAGGGTCTCCTAATTCAGTCCGGGTTTTATCAAAGTTGTTTTTCGTAGAATCTGATGAAACGACTCGCAAGGCAGCTGTCATCATTCATCTAAAAGAAATAAAGTTTTATAAACTTTGGTCAGACACTGTTTCCAATGTCCCGATCCTGCTCCAACGTTTGAACTTTGTCAAGAGAACGTCTGAGTTTGGAGCACATTCTTTCCAGATACTTCTTCAAGATACAAGCCATTCTTTACCGTCCTCCTAGGTCGTTAACCAGTCGGTAAAGCCATTAGTAGAAGTTTCGCATTACTTTCTGGAAACATCAGGTAAGATCCTAGAGGAGCTATACCGATAGTGAGAGCTAAAAATAGGCTTACAAACATTAATTTCAAAGAAGCGCCTAGATCTCCTGGAAACTTAAGGAAGCCCTATTGCAGGGATTCATACTGAATGAATCATTAGAGAATGGCACTTCTGAACAACTTAGGGATCTTAAGATGAGGACAGAAAGAAATATGACCGCAAGAGCCTTATCAATACGTAGAAATGAAATATAAAATATTCAAAATATCCGCCTTCGCGTCATCTTGATTCGATGAAGGCAGCCGTTTTCAGTTGTGCGAAAAAGCAATTTCGGACCTCTAACATTCCGCTAAAAACGGCGAGGTAAAACGACAAATAGGCCCACTGTTTGAACTCAGAATGTGAGGTATATCAATTGTAAATGACATACTTACAAAGTAGACTGAACGAAACCTGTGTTGGCTTGCTCCAAGACTTTGGTGAGCGTCTTTGGTTTCAGCATGGTAACAGATATCGACTGTCTGGCCGCGACAATATACTGTAGTTACTTTCCATTTTATGATGCTCAGGTATAGTATATGGTCATTCCTATCGCTTACGAAGCTGAAGCCGAGGTGTACGACGACCAATGCAGGTGACCAAAGAAAGTAAGTTCCTTTTCTTCATGCCTAATCGTTGAAAATTGAATAAACTCTTATTACCAAAAACAACGCTCGTTCTTTGCAACTTTACCTAAAATTAATTTGTTTCGTTCAACTGTACGCCTGATAAAACCCTAGTCATTTTTTTGATTGTGATCATCGTCTGATGTATCAAGGCAGTAGACCTGATACCTAGCTTAATCATGTCGTGCTCTTCTGGCTTTTCACACTGATTCAGGCGATCTTGTTTGCTGCCGCAGAAATTGCATTCCCTGTCGCAAGTAAGTCTGTCTATTGCACCCGCTCTACGGTGTTGGCCTCCGTCGCGTCTCTCGACGGCCATTCTCTGACTCTCATGCAAGAATGGTTTTCAGTAGTACTCTGTTCTCTCTCTGGGTATTTCTGTAAAACAACGAAAGACGCCTGTCACTGATTTTCTCAGACAACGTTCTCCGACCAGTCATTTCCAAGTTCTTTTCATTTCTCGCTTCAAAAATATTTCGCAGACAGCGTTCCTGGAAACTGCATTTTTTCGCGGCAATTCAAAAAAATAGATATTTCGAGGCTGAACGTAAAGACAGACAATTTTCTCTATGGGGATCATGGTTGCTGTTTGAATAGATGGACCTTTCCAGTGTGATATCGTCTGTTCAGTAATTAGACTTCACATTTCGTGATTTCGCACCTTTAATTTCGCATCTTTAGCTTTCCGATTATTTTGCTGTAAATAATGTTTTGTACCTATTTTTGATGTCGTCCATTCACTGCTATTTTGGGCTTTCTGCCGGTGATGATGCAAACTAAAGGCCTACCGTACCTTGTTTTCCAGTCAGTTCCTGATCCTTCTGACCTGACTAGTTTTTCTTATGCATATTTCTGCAGGGTAATGGTTGGCTTAGGGCCTGTTCGTTTGTTTTACGACTGATGGTGACAGGGATCAGTGTAATCCACCATTCAGAGAAATGAAAACATGACCGTTAAAGTCCCAGCTATTCAGTATTCGATTTGCATGCGACCATTCGTGTGGCGTGAACTGCCAAAATACGTAGTCGCTTTCTGATATAATTCATCAAGCATCTTCTTGGTCTTCCTTCAAAAAGATAGATAATTAGACATTTTTATCATGTTATTTCTGAGAGTAGTACTCTCCTGGTTTCGCAATAGAGATTAGTTTAGATTCGTTCGACAGTCATTCAATCTTTTAAAGCGTTGTTGGATGACCGCTTACTTATATAGGCATTTTTAAATCGCTTCTTTAGGTATTTCCTTTTTTCGGTGAAATACTTGGGTTGAAGTTTTTATTTCTTGAATTTTACACTGTAAAGTTCTGTGGTGATGGAAATCGGCTTGTTCTTTTATTTGCTGTTTATGGCTGTATTCTTCCTCAGCCGTCACCCTTCCTCTTTCTCATTATCACTATTATATTTGCTAGTGAGCCCACGGTTATCCTCTTCGTTAACTTTTAACATTCATATCATGCAGTAATAGGGCGAAAGTCCTTCGAATCATCGTCATCATTCCTTGCGACCAGATTATCGCTTTCATCATAATGGCCATAATAATTATCGTCGATGACCAACTGGTTGTGGTTTTCAACGCAGCAACTTCGACGGACGTTAATTCCACTGCTAGTCATTTTCTGGCTAATGGGTAAAGCAATTTGTCGCTTAGCGGTTTATTTATCTGTTACATCGCTGCTTTGTGACTTGGGTGTGCATCATCTCGGCTTTCTACTCTATGCAGTATCTCGCAACGCGTTTTTCGAAATCCATGTGTACTCAGAATAATGCGTTTTTCGATATCTGACATCTTTTAAATATAGATTGAAGGAAATTCTGTGAAACCGGCTTGTCATTTGCTTTGTATTGCATGTTTTGCATCTGTTTGGGTATTCTATTAATTATTTAACTAGACGCTGGCATAGATTTGAATCTTAAAGGCTATCCCTTCTTTTATGTCATTTGACTGTCGCTTTTATGCTAGTTGTGGCGACTTTTTAGTTTTTTTTCTTCATTTTCATTGTTATTTATTTGTTACCTAATTCATGTATGTTTCCTCTAGTTCTGTTGAACTTGAAAGATAGGCTTCTTTGAAGGTCTTACTCCGATAGCAGACTTCAGTGAATTAAGACGTTACTTTATCCGCATTTCACATAATGTAAAAGAGTAAAATATTTTACAGTAAGTGCTATGAAATATGCACATGAAACTTTCAATTATTTTTCACAAGTTGTACACCGTAAGGAAGGACGTATTGAACAGGTATCCGAATATGTTACCGGCATATCACAAGGGTGGTTCGTTTCACTGCTAGACAAAGGTGGTGGATTAATCAGAGAGCAGAGCAGAAAGAATCGAAGCCAAGCCACGGTCTAATATCATGATAGTCACAGACGTGAGTAACCCATCGCTTGCAGCATCTATTTATTGGTTTACAAACTTCTAGAGTTATAGTTTATTTTTTCCGTTTCTTTTTTCTCTTGTTTTATTTGTTTTCTTTTAGCCGTAAGTGTGAGTAATGTTGGCAACTACCATCTAGGTAGATTACCCTGATATTCTTTTGCATTTCACTTTATGACGGGGAAAATTTTGCTACTGTATATCTTTGGTAGAAATGACATCCATTCATGACTGTGTTAAAATAGTCAAATTTTAAACTTAAACGAAGAGGTTATCTATGGGCTAGGTGGAAAGGTCATTTTGGCGTGCCTGAAACTTGTTTTGCTGCTGTGGAAAGCTATGCAAGTGACAGAGAGATATTGCTGCAAGGATAAATCAGAAAGTTCCATAGAGATGCAAACGAGAGAGCGTCAATGATTGACGTTCTGTGTACCGAATAGCACGACCCATACTTAAGCACAGTACCAGTAGTCAATCATGCGACTTCATAAGATACCTCGACTAATTCAAGAAATTCTTCAGTAGCGGTCTCTAGGTTTACCCTTCCTACATCTCCAGGTACTGTGGTGTAGAGGAAATCCCTCGAGGTTAGCCAGATATGAAGGTAGTGGAATGCTGGAAAAACTGTCTCCTCTGGAGCTAAGCTAAACTTGAATTTATTGAATAGAATTTATTATAAGGTTTATTAATTGGTGAAATTGTTTCCAAGAACCGGGCAGATAATACACATTTTATTTTAAAACTTGATATATTCTAATTGCATGGGAGTTGCAATCATATGAATTCGTATACAGGCTTCAGCGTGCAATAATAAATCTGAAAATTAAATGTTTTGACTCCTCTACTTGTTAACTCTGGTTTTATTTTTTCAGATTTTTCTCAGGAACTACCGTTCATACTGCAGGCAATTGAAAATGCAGAATTTATCGCCATCGATTGTGAATTTACTGGTGGGTGTTGTGTTGTTGCGTTAGAAAAGTTTTACATGCTGTACATAACTGTACTCGATTTACTACTCGT